GGGAAGCTGGACAGGCTCAGGGAGTGGGGAGACGAGCCGGCAGACTATGCCGATCGGCTGCGGCCAATCTTGACTCGCTTCGTGCTCACATGGGACGAGCCGGACTGCGACGAAGTGAAGGACTTTTGGAACAACATTGTTCGGTCGCAGAGGCTGTTCTCCTGTGGCGCAGGGCCTGCGAGTTACAGCATCTCGGGGTGGATTACCGGGTTCCTGCACTGGACCGTCGAGGGCGACCTGAGGATCTCGCGCCAGGCCGAACAGGAGTTCCAGCCGTCGGACGGCGACCTCGTGCTCGACGGCGTCCCGTACTTTTCGACGGAGCTCGACGACGTGCCCGTCGGCTACGCAAAGGCGCCGCTCAAGATGCTGGACTACCCAAGTCAGGGGACGGACTCGATGGCGTATCTTCTGGCGGGCAACGTCGGGGTGCAGAGACTAGCGGTGGCCTCTAGCGAAACGCCGGGCCAGGAGGATTTCAAGGTGACGGCGCAGCCGATGAGCGCGTGGTTCCTGTTTGGGCCGGTGAATGCGACGTTCAAGACAGGGCCCAGGTACGGCGACGGGGGGGAGCTGCTGAGGGCGGCGGCGGGGCTGGGGATGTGCTCGACGCATAACTTTGGGGGGTTCGACGACGACGGAGCAATTGGCGGTGTTGGCGATGTTGGTGATGTTGGGGGTATCATTGGGGGTATCATTGTAGACGTTCCGGGGGATGGAGTTGTGTTTGACGATCCCGATCTGATAGGCATCGATGGAGGTGATGGTGATGGTGATGATGGTGGTGATGATGGTGGTGATGGTGATGATGGTGTAAGTAAGAGGAGGGAGAGGCGGATCGTCAAGGGCAGCAAAGCAGATGCGCTGAGGCACAGAATCTACACGTAAAGGATGAGATGAGATGAATGATGACTAAGGATAGCACTAACAACGAACAATTGAGCCAATGAAAGCTGCTGTTGTGCTTATGTGATGGACCCCCGGCCATTCAAATACCTTGAAGATTCCCATCGATTGGCCAATGAAATCAGCCCCCATCGCTGCTTTTGATTAGTACCAACCCGACATAGGCATCAACATTCGTTCCCCATTCCATCCCCATTCCCCATCCAAGTACATAAAGCTACATCTCGACAGAATATCAATTGATGCGATTAATGTGCATGTGGTGCACTGTATCCGTCAACTGTGTTGTCATTATCATTCATTGCCACGCTCACATCAATGCTCTCCTCATTCTTCATTCAGTAAATGCTCTCCCCCCCCGTTGCCACAACCACATCACTCGCCCTTCATAAGCCAATGCCCGATGCCAATTCACCCCCATACGAGTACATACGAGCTGCTCCATGGGGAAACCAAGTCATTGATTGGCCATGTGCGCTGCACGCATGCACACGACATGTACACGCAAGGTGAAGTGTTCATAAACACACTGGCCAGCCATGCTGTAATGCGGGACAGCTCACTGCCCGTTTATACTCGTACTCGCAGGGCGGTTTGCCCCCCCCGGAGCTAGTGCACTGTGCAGCGCTCACCGACACCTGTGATGCGCTGGTTGGCGGGCCGCATCCACTGCCAACCCACTGACAGCCCACTAGCGCCCACTGCCAGCCCGCTGTGGCCCTGCTGGCAACGCCCACGGCCCCCCTGCTGTGCCTGAATGGCCCGTTCGTCTCCCCTCTGTCGCAGCTCCAACACCCAAAGCTCTCCACAACCTCCAACCTCGACCTTCTCCCGCAGCCACTCACGTCCGACTCCGTTGGTACTTTGCGATACCTCGAGCGAGATCCCAACTGCGAGCCCGACGACGACGATGCTGCTGATTCTGCTGCTGATTCTGATTCTGTGACGACGGCCAATTGCGCGCTTCTCGGGTGCCCCAGTCCCCTCGCCCTCTGATTCCAACATCTAAGCTGGATCCCCGGCTTGCTGAGCAGCCTCTCTCCCTCTCCCATCACATAGCACAAGTTTCTGCTCAAGCCGTCTCCCCTGTGAGGTCTTCCCCAGATCAAGGCAGGCCGAAAGGAGCGGAAGCACCAGCTCAAGCAAAGACAACGCAAAACATCTCTCGCTTGCATCATCCGTCTGCATCACCGTCGTCATACTTGCGGCAGCCGCAAGAGGGTGCCGATATGGCGACTGTCGTCCAGCAGACCCAGCTCCATACTCGGACGCGTACCTCTCGCGTGCCCTCTGCCAGCAGCAGACCCCTTCGAGCCGCCGCCGCCGTAGCGGTTGCTGCCGCAGCCTTTGCGAGACCTGTGCGAAGCCTTGCGAGGCCCAAGACTGAAGCGCTTCAGATCCCGCCCAGCGCCGCCCCTGCAGAGTCCAATGCGGGCTCGGGCCTCAATGTTGCAGGTCCGGCCTCTCTGTCGCTGTTCCTCACCAACATCAAGCTTCTGGATCTCGACCAGCTCCCTGACTGGCCCGAAATCTCGGCTGAGACGTTCGCGGCATCCGGCACCACCCTGCAGGACCAGAAGAGGCGAGTACAGTGCGTAGAATGGGCCTTGTATCAGCTGTTTGTCATATGGGATCCGGACGAGGCGGCGAATGTGCGTACTTTTTTTCTTCCTCCTCCTCCTTGACTGCTAAGACGACTGACGTCTCCGATGATGTGACATGGTGAACTTGACATGGCTAATACCCCATCCCTCCCAAACAGAAGCTGAAGCCTTTCTACCCACCTGTCGATCAGCTCCAGTCTGTGAACCTGCGCGCCGCGCTCGTCAGGGCCCTCGAGCAAGCCAAGAAAAATGGCGACCTCGGGCGGGACACCATCATCCGCAAGACCATGTTGGACGAGTGCAAGGGCGAGAGGCTGGAAGAGGTCCTTGCCTTCTTTTCCACCGCGGTCCTGAAAAAGGTGGTTTCTGACAGCCTCGCCGCCAGCCGCGGCTACATCACACCCGCCATTGAGCTTGCCTTTGAGAACAAGGGCTACAAGAGCGAGAAGTCCCATCTGATTGCGCTGTCCATGGCCCACAAGGCCTCCATGCGACAGCTCCTGCAACGTAAAGAGCTGGCTAGGGTTCGCTTCAAGGAGTTTGCCGTGGTGCTGGACGAGAAAGAAGATGATATCATCAGCAGACGAGAAGTCCTTGAGATGAAGGAGATGGACGGTGCTGGCCAATCCGTCTCTGACAATGCCAGGGCCGAGATGCGGCGGACTGTGCACCACAATTGGTCAGGCAGCGAGGCCTGGATGGAGACTCTCCTGTCCGGAGATCCAAAGCACGGCGGCCTCATGGCTACCAAGTTCGACCGCGTCTGGAGAAGAGCCCAGAAGGGCCGGCTTGACGAACTGGACACGAACGACGTCGGCCTCTTGGAGCAGCTGGACAGCCGGGTCAAGATGCAAAGAGACAGGCTCCGCAAGTGGGATGCCTTTCGTCGGAACACGTTTGGCGAGGCCAGGCCCATGCCGGCCAAGCCCAGAGCCACTGCCGCCAAAGCCAAGGGCATCGACCTCGGCTTCACCGCTCACCTGGATCTGCAGACCGGGAGAAGGAACAAGTCCACCAGGGTTGCGCTGTTTCAGCATGCGCCTCAGATGTCGGATGACTATGCTGCATTGGTTTCGGATCTGAAATACGACCTGGGCAAAATCGCAACCAAGGAGGTCGACATTGCCTCTCTCGTCAGGAAGCGAACCCCTGTGAAGCAGGATCGCCGTGACCGTCGCCTCAATTCAACTTCATCGTTTGAGGGCGGTGATGATGATGAGATTAGCGACCTGGAGGACGCCGAAAGCGCGTTTCGCGCAGACAGCTCTGTCACGTCGTTCTCGTCCCTGCAGGACAAGTTTACCGCTCCCGCTCGTGCCGTAAGACCGGTCATCTCTCGACCAAGCCTGTCACAGCTCTCTGGTGGCGTGGATACCGTGTGGTCGTCGGCCCAGAAGAACTTTCCTGGGCGAAGCACCTACGACCTGACTCAGATTGAAGAATCGCCGCTTGCGACTCCCCCGTCTATTCTTCCTCAGCGAAAGCCTTCGGGCTATGACACGCCAACGCGCCGTCGGTCACCCGAAGAAACAAGGCCTGTTGCCAAACATAAAACGAATAGCCCGCCACGGTTTTCGCCCACAAAGGAGTTTGCGGACGGCTCTACGTCTCCCGGGAAAAACTCGACTCCGTCGCCCGTGAAGCGCACCAAGCCTCGACACACTCTCTCCTTGGCTGAGCGCACTCGACTCTCAATGAGCCGTAAGAAATCTCTGTGCTTTGAGGACGAGGAGCTTGACCCGCCCACTCCCATCACACCGGTCACCACCAAGCCTGCGGAGCCAGATTACTCCGAGGATCTCGCCAGCCGGACCCGTCGAAGCATGGCCGGGTTTGACAAGGCGCAGCAAAAGGCACAGATGGAGCGGCGCAGGTCTCAGAGGAGGGCCAAGATGCCCCCACGAAAGGAGACGAGCTACTTTCCAAGGGTGGACGAGGAGGAAATCAACGAAACGACGCTTCTGCTGGAGCAGTTGGCCGAGGAGGAGGACGTCGAGGCCGTCTTCCGATCGCGACCCAAGGTTGGACAGAGCTTGCAGCCAAGCCCAACGAGAGAGGAATGGGCTGATATTCCAGAGTGGAACGGGGTGAGCATGAAGTGAGACTGATGTTGTCTCTGACGATGTGAACTTGGCATCTTTTTTTTTTTTTTTTTTCTTTTCTTACACTTTTCAGCGTTTGGGCGTATATAGAAGTTACCAATAGATCTCGGGAATGGAAAACAACGATTACGAAGCACAGTATAGACTTGGCCACAAACAATAGATTCAAAGACTCCTTGTTGTCATGATAGCACCTCATATATTTGCATGTCAGGGCGTGCCAATCCCATCTATCGTATTGTACATGTATATCTATCTCATGAAAACTTTCCTCATGTTTCCAAATATACCATTTCAAGCCCCCCCTTTTTCGCCCATTTTTCACCACATGTCAATCCCTCGTCATACATGGCATATTGAGACAACCACGGATGCAACCGCCGCCTGTTTACCAGCCCTGCTTTTTCAACTCCAAGACCTTGTTGACAGCAGCCTTGAATCCCGTCTTAAACCTCGCCCTCCACCGCTGACTCCTCAACCTCTTCTTCTTCAGACCCTTTCTCTCGTGGAACTTTTGCGAGTGGTACTTGTTCCGCACCTTTTGGTCCCGGCACATCCTCTCCAGCACGCGGATGGCCACGGCGGGGGTGGGTGCCGAGGTGGGCGACAGGCGGTCCTTGATGAAGACGGTGCGGCCGGTGACGGCGTCGGTGCGGATCTTGGGGCGGAGCAGGGGGTCGCCGACGTTGAGGGACTGGCCGTAGGCGGCGGATCGGGCGGCGACGATTTCGGCAATGTCGAAGTTGAAGGGGGCGGAGGAGTCGGCTGCCGTGTAAGGGAATGAAGAGGCTGGGTTTTCCTCGGCTGAGGCTGAGGCTGAGGCTGATGGCGATTCTGACTCGGCAGCAGCAGCAGGAGGAGGAGGAGGAGGAGGGGGAGGGGGGACGAAATCGGTCGAGGCTGGTTCAGAGCGAGCCTTTGGGGGGACGACGGGCTTCGGTGCCGGTGCGGGAGGGACAAAGTTGCCGACCAGAGGGTTTCTTCGATCGTCAAAGACGGATCTGGACGCATTGAATCGGACGGCCAGTGATGTGGAAAAGGCGCGGGCTTGCGCTGGGGCGGCGAGTCTGGACAGCATCATGCTGCCGTATCTCGAGGTTGCGGCCCTGCGATGGAATCCGAATCAGTACATTGTTCTCCAGCAAGAGATCAGACATCAATCACGCACATGCTGCTGCAATTCGCAATGCCGACGCAATGGCTCCAGCAATTCTCCAGTCCTGAATCATGCAGGCATCGACATCCCACATCTTGAAAGTTCGCTGCGGCTGCAAAAAGTTGCGGGCGGATCAACTTTGATGCGGGCCTGGCCTCCCAAAGTGGGTACATCTCGCAGAACCAGGAATCCCAGCCGTGAAGCCGCGATTCGCACCTCTGCATATCAACCACGACGAAACAAGAAAAAAAAAAAATCTGCGAAAAGCTGGACATATTCAGATCAGCACGAATCTCTTTCGCGAAGAGGAACTTGATGCTGCTGCTCTGTGGCAACAATCGCGCCTGCCGTCACGTCTCAATGCAAGCCGAGAACCCTTCAATTTGAGGCTGCTGCATCTGGAGATTTTGCTTGTGCGAAGAGCTGCTGACTGCTGGGACTCTTCTTTTTTCCCCTTCTGCTTGACCCTTTATTCTCTTCTTCTAGGTGCCAGCGTTGGTCTGACGCAAACAATCCAATCCGCCTCTGCAACTTGCCAGCGTGACGCTGCTCTTAGCCGCAGAGCCTTGTCAGCATGGCCTACAACCATTACGGAGGTACTCAAGGCCGAGGACAGTCTCGACGATACAACAGATCCGCTAACGGAGCTTCAGCACCGCACAATCCTTATGGCGCGCCTCCTGGCTATGGCTATCCGGGCGCGGCGCCTGGCATGTCCGCTCCTCCTGGGCTAGGTACGGTTGTCTTTTTCCTCTTTTTGCTTCTCTCCTTGGTTTCGCCGCTGACTGTTTCTCTCTCTCTCTTCAGGACCTCCTCCAGGCATGTCTCCCGCTCCGGGAATGGCCCCCCCGCCGGGCATCCAGCAAGCCAACGTGCCTCAAGCTAATCGTCCAAGTGGTCTGCCTGCTTTCCAAGCCCCGACCAACATGCCGAACATCAACTTCAATGCCCCCGTGATTCGACTGGGCACAGGAGCCTCAGCCGGTGGCGGCAGGTCCGACGACCGACCTGCGCAATCGGGAGGAAGAGCTGGGCTTGGGATGGAGAGGGGGTCGGAGCAGGGGCGAATGGCGGCCAGGGAGACGATGCAGACGCTTCTTCCACCGACGAGCGAGGAGAAGCTGCGAACCATCTTTCTACACCAGATTCCAGAGGGACTGGGCGGCGACGAGGGCACGAAGAAGCTTCTTGGGGCCGTCGGCAAGCTGAAGCGCTGGGACCCGTCCGACAGCGTGTCCGAGGATCGAAAGGGAACCAAGTTTGGCTTCGCTCTGTTCGAGGACATTGATTCCGTGGCAACTGCCGTCAAGCTCCTGACCGAAGAAGAGGTGCAAATCCCCATCAGGAAACAGCCCAGCTCGAGCGACCCGCCGGCCGACGACAGCTTTGATGATGTGGAAAAGACGAAGCTGCAAGTGGTTGTTGACCCTACGTCGTTGAGCTACCTGGAGGCGTACAAGGAGAACAAGGGAGACGATGCGTCCCTGGAGCAGAGAATAGAGCAGGCTCGCGCAGCCCTCAAGTCAGTGATTCGAGAGCTATTCTACCCCCCTGTTGTCGACACTACCGACGTTAATGGCGATGTTGCTATGGGGAATACGGATGCCGAGGAGAACGTTGAGGTGGTCAACATCCCCCTGGCGCAAGAAGACGAGTTGGCGGACATCCCACCTGAGATGCGAGAGGTCGTTGCAGGAGAGATTGCGGCTTTCCGTGAGCGCAGCAACCAACGGGATATGGAGCGTCTCCAGCGAGAAGAGGAACTGGAAGAAAGCGAACGACGCCGCAATGGCGCAGCCCGGTCAAGGCTGGCCTCGCCGCCGAGGAACTCGAACAATGTGCCGCTGGGCCCTCGTGGAGTCTCCGTACCAAACGCCCCAGTCGGACCCAAGGGCCAAAATGGACCGAACCGAGTGGCCTTTGTCAACGGAGGGGTGAACAACGCAGATGGGTCTACAAGACGCGACGATGAGGACACCGACGCAAGCGATGACGAGCTCTGGAGGAGACGCGAGGCTGAGCGCAAAGCCGAAGATGACAAGATGTACGCGGAAGCAGAGAGGAAATGGGTCAACAGAGAGCGATCACGGCAGGCAGCGTTGGAGCGAGAACGGGAGCGAGAAAAGCACGACATGGAGTCCCTCGAACGAAGGAAACAGGAGCAGCTGGAGAGAGAAAAGACGTGGGACGATGAGCGAGAGGCCACCCGCAAAACGCACAACTACTACCGAGACCACGGCGGCTGGGCGAGAAAACGAACGTCTGATCGGGCTGAGGAAGAGGCAAGAGATGAAGCCGACCGGCAGGCCGAAAAGGTGGAGCGAGACCGCGAGCAGGCCAGGCTAGAACAGGCGCGCGGCATGGCGGATTCTTTCCTGGACCAGCAGGCCCGGGAGATGGAACAGCGCGAAGCTGCCGCCGCCGCCGCCGCACCACAGCCATTCAAGCTGTCGCTCGGCGCGGCGGCACAGCGAGCTCAAGCCTCACGAGCGGCCCCTCAACGACGCACGATTGCCGAGGTGGAGGGTCTCCTGGACGACGAGGAAGTCGAGTCGACGAAGCGGCAGCTCATCCCCATCCAGCTGGACGCCTCCTCGGGCGCGGCGGGCATGACGGAGGAGGAAATCTCGCAGGCGGTGCGCGCGCTGGCGCAGGAGATTCCGTCGGAGAAGGACGGGCTCTGGGCGTGGGAGGTCAAGTGGGATTTCATGGACGACACCGTGGTGCGGGACAAGCTGCGGCCGTTTGTGGAGAAGAAGATTGTCGAGTATCTCGGCGTGCAGGAGGAGATGCTGGTCGAGGCCGTGGAGGAGCATCTGCGGAAACATGGCACGGCGGGCGCCTTGGTGGAGGAGCTCGAGGGGGTGAGTCTTTTCTTTTTGATGCCGTTCCCCATCTTCTTTTGTTTCTTCTCGGAGAAGTACTCGGAGAACTAATCGTTGCTTTTGTTTAACAGGCCCTGGACGACGAAGCAGAGGATCTGGTCAAGAAGCTCTGGCGCATGCTCATCTTCTTCACCGAGTGCGAGAAGCGAGGCTTGCCGGCGTAAAGAGGGGACGTGACACTACAAACAACCTCCATGGAGATTTGGGGGTTGTTTTCTAATGAGCTACTAACTCTCTGCGTTTAATTCTGCTGCTTTCTTTTTGGCGTCTTGTGGAATTGTTTTTTTCTTGTTGAGGAGAGAACGATACAGGGCGCCATTCCGAAATCACGTCTTCTTTTTTCCCAAGTAGAGATGCAAATATGGAGAGATGTGAAAGAGGACAGTAATAGGAAATGGGAACCAAAAAAAAATCCATCAATCTTGTATGTACAACTAGGGTGTTTTTTGGGAGAAACAGACCCCGGGCTTTGAAAAATCGTGTAGGATTTCTCTGTTGTGTAAATAAACAATGGCCAATTTCTTCAGGGAACCGCTAGAATCGTGTGCTTGATGTTCATGACACTGCATCATCATTGATTGATTAATCCATGCTCGAATCAGCCGTATAAACCCCGTGATTCTAACTCGTCAGCAATACTCACCAACCAACATCCCGTCATCACAAAACGGTAAGCTCAGCTCAAGAACAAATGAGGAGAAGCCACGAGCCTCACCAAAACCGAGAGCCGAGGCTGGGGGTCACATCAGCCCCACACAGACGTCTCCAAAGAGCGCGTAACGAGTAACAGCCGCTTACTCTCTGTTTCTTACTCGCGGGGAGAGCCGATTACCGCCAAAATCCCCCCCCTTGAGCCCAACACTTACCGCGTCAAAAGGGCGCTGGCGAACAACTCGACGCGATAACTCTGAGCCGTGTCACAGCGGCCATGACCAGCCTTGCCGCCTTTTGAGGACCGTCTCATTGTGTTTCATCTGCTGAATGAGATAAGGGAAAGAGGAACAAGGCGAAAAAAGGGGCAGAGAGAAGAAAGTGAGTGAGAGAGAGAGAGACAGACCAAGCGGCAAAGACACCGTGATAGTCGAAGGTGCCGGTCACCGCAGTGCAGTATCGAGTAGTATCTGGCACTTACATGCCGTCGCCACTTGCCTTTACTTTGCCCCGTCAGCCTCGCTTGCCCCCTTGTCCAAGTCCAAGGCAACAGCAACAGCAACAATGGCCATCTCCATCATGAGCTCGCCGCCCGCGGTCGAGGACGTCATCATCACGGCGCCTCGGCCACACATCCTGCTCATCACCATCAACCGCCCCAAGCAGCTCAACTGCATCCGCCACGACATGCACGGCCAGCTCGACCGCCTGTGGAAGTGGTACGACGCCGAGCCCGCGCTGCGATGCGCCGTCATCACCGGCATGGGGCGAGCCTTTTGCGCAGGCGCCGACCTCAAGGAGTGGAACGAGCGCAACGCCAACCCCGACGAGCCGTCCAAGAAGGCGCCCGAGGCCGGCTTCGGCGGGCTCAGCAACCGCCAGGGCAAGAAGCCCATCATCGCCGCCGTCAACGGCCTGTGCCTGGGCGGCGGCATGGAGATGATTCTCAACGTCGACATGGTCATCGCCTCGGTCGATGCGCGCTTCGCCCTGCCCGAGGTGGCCCGGGGCGTCGTGCCCATCCAGGGGGCGCTGCCTCGCCTGATCCGCTCCGTCGGCATGCAGCGCGCTTCCGAGATGGCTCTGCTCGGCAGGATCTACAAGGCCGACGAGATGCTTCGCTGGGGGCTGGTCAACCACGTCATTGCCCGCGGGAGCGACGTCGTCGGCGAGGCCCTCCAATGGGCCATTGAGCTTGCCAACAACTCGCCAGACTCCATCATCGTGGCCCGTCAGGGCCTCCTCAGCGGCTGGGAGGCGGAGAACCCCAAGGATGCCACCGACCGCATTCTGACCGACATCTACACCAAGATGGACGGCGGAGCCAACATGACCGAGGGCGTGCGGGCCTTTGTCGAGAAGAGAAAGCCCATCTGGAAGGATAGCAAGCTGTGAGATTGGAAAGAGAGGTGCGGTGCAAACCAACATGATCCCTATCCCTCAAACAACACCAGGACGAGAGAGGAAAGTGTTGGGCGGGAATGTCTTGGATTTGGCGTTTTGGTGATGCAATCGATCAAGGCCGGCGGCATGTCCTGCATGCCTTGGGATGTACATATGACTCGTTGTAGTATCGGTGTAGCAGTCCGTATAAGCAAAATCTGCTCTGTTTTCTGCCCTGAAAACATTCTCTCCATGCACGCTACTGTACTCGTACATGGATCACAATTCTGCACCAGAAAGAGATTGGGGTGCAGTTACTTTTCAGCCGTCCAGTCGTAATGGAGCCGCAGCGCTGTTTGGACAGTTACAAAGTTCCCAGTCTCCGTGTCAATTCTCCCATCTAGATTGAGACCCGGCAAGCTGGGAGTGTCTTATTCGCCACACTCAAACACACCGTACACACACCTCTTTTAGACTCCCCTCTTTGGCATTCATCAAAGGCGAATCATCCCGATATCCTGCTGTATGTCGATTGAAAGGATCCAGCTAGGCCGATCGACCACAGCCTAGCCAAGGGAATCGCGATCAAACACACCGTATCAAAGCCCAGAACCAGAATGTCGCAAACTGACAGATCCAACAGGGGGGTGGAGAGTCAATTCTGCAGCTAACCCATTGAGAGCAACCCTTGGCTGCATTTGAAATTACTCTTGCGCCCAAAGAGTTCTAGGCACGGCCCGTTGCGGAGCCCCGACCATTACTTGGGCCATTTCCGCAGAAGAGGGCATCTCGAAGCTCGATACCGCCTTGTTCACGCCGATTGCTTGTGCTTGTACGAATCAACTCCATATCACTTGCCAAGAGATTCTTTTTCGTCTCCTTCTTATCGTGGGGAGAAAGGCGTGGACAACCGTAGCACAATTTCCGGCACATGTGTTGCACAATAGCTCACGTCATGAAAATCTCCCGTCAATGGCCATGGAAGCGGCCGACAGGCAAGGAAAGACAGAGACGGTGTGCCGTTCCACACGGAAAACCAGGCAGCAAATGGCGCCAATGGACGAGACAACGGGCTCGAAAGACAAGCGCCGGATGGCGTCGTGCGGCTGGACGATGTACACAACAACAACAACAACAACAACAACCTTCCTTGCTTCCTTGAATCTGCGGTCCGACCTCAGCCGCAGCAAGAGATGTCCGCATTTGTTCCACATCCTCCGCGTGTGACTGGCCGAATAATCTCGGCGGAAGAGTTGCCCGCGTTATCACCACCGAAGCCCATCGTCGCTCACTGGCTCGCCCTCTGAGCAGCACTGAGACATGCATGTGCTCTTCTGCGACCTTTCCCCGCTCTCATGCGCAATGTCTTGAATATCAAGGTGTTCCGCCAATCCCTGAGTAAAGGGGTCTTTTGCCGTCTCCCCCATTGGTCGCTAGTCCCCGGCATTTGACAGACGTGCAGCTCCTCCATCTCAACAGGGAAGCGATCAGCGCCCTTCAGCCGGCTGGAGTTCAGCCTCTCCCTCGCAGATGCTCCACACGGCCGAGATGGACAGAGCAAAGTTGTGTCCCGGAGAGAGCCCCAAGGCTAATGCGAGATTCCCAGACAAACGACGAGCTGCAGAGTCATGCGTATGAGCCGTCCAACGATGAGCCACGCTCATGATCGCAAAAGTACTAATAATAAGCCGCGGGCGCCCCCTCCCGTGCTTATGGTTATTTCCAGTGCCTAGCTTTTCTCGTTAATTTCTGATCAGGCAAATCCCCTGGCTCCGCCTCATCATCCACATTGCCCATTTGGTCAGATTGATTTTAAAGAGCCCACATATAACTGGCCATGGCTTCTGGGAGCATGAGCATGCTGGATCCAAGTTCGGCCGAGCACCCAAAGGGCCGTTCGAGCTTAGACTACATCAACGCAGCCATCATGGAGCGTCCAGCAAGTCCGACGCCGCAGAACAGAGCCCCGAGGAAGCTGATTCTTTGTTTCGACGGCACGGGCAACAAATTCCACGGCGATGACAGCGACAGCAACATTCTCAAGATCTTCCGGATGCTTGATCGCACTGCAGATGATCAGTATCATTACTACCAGCGTAAGTGCTTGGCGACGCGTGCGCGCTCGCGCCAGAGTTGCCATGAACGAATCTTCAACTTGCGCACAACTGACTCTATTCACCAGCTGGTATTGGCACGTACATTGTGTCCTCTTCACTTTCACACACTAGTCTGAAAGGGCGGATTCGGTCATGGTATCAGAAAGCCAAAGACTCGGCGGTTGGTTCGTCCTTTGACCAACATGTCGTCGGGGGCTATCGTTTCCTCATGCGCTTTTACAATCCTGGGGATGACATTTACATGTTTGGCTTCAGTCGCGGCTCATACATTGCCCGCTTTTTGGCTGAGATGCTCGACTACATCGGTCTCCTGTCTCACGGTAACGAAGAAATGGTGTCGTTCGCCTGGAAGGCATTCGCCAACTGGCAGAGTCGCCGGGGTGGCGACAAAGATGAGAAGCTTGCCGAAGAAGAAGAGAAGAAGAAGCATGAGATGTACCACTTCATGAAAGGCTTCCGTGAGACTTTTTCGCGACCAGTGGGCAGGATCCGATTCCTAGGTCTGTTCGATACAGTCAACTCTGTGCCTCGGTTTGAGACAGCATGGATGCAGCGAAGCAAGTTTCCGTACACGGCGCGTAGTAGTGCCAGAGTCATCCGGCATGCAGTTAGTATCGATGAGCGACGTGCCAAGTTTCGACAGGACCTGATGTATCAGCAACACAACAACAAGCGCCGCCGCAATACGCACGGCCACTGGAAGAAGGACTTGGGCCACATGCTGGGCCATAACCAAGACGATGAATACAGTGGAGAAGTAGACGGCGGAGAAATAATGCATAACCAAGGCCGAGGCAGACGGCCCAGCCAACAGTCGACAGCAGCGGACGGGCGGCCGTCGTCGGCAAATCCACAAACCAACAAGTATATGCCATATAGAGCCAGGTCAAGATCTGCTGCTCGCCCAGACCGCCGCCTGTCGGTGACTGGCTGCAATGCCTCGGATCAGCTTTCTGTCGAGGAGTTTGAGGATAGCGGCGAACAAGACATTGACGAAGTATGGTTTGCCGGTGGCCATGGCGACGTTGGGGGCGGATGGCAGACCGATTTCGTCGGCAGCAAGAATGCAAGCCATGTGCCTTTGATATGGATGGTCCGTGAAGCCATCCGTGCCGGCTTGAAGTTCGATCTGGAAAAGGTCCAGGAGCTGGATTGCTTTGACCTGTACAACGAGTTTGGCAGCGCCGGCGTCAAGAACGGCCGGAGAGGGCCAGAGAGAGGGCCCGACATTCTTGTGAATCGGGATGGCGAAGAGGAAGCAGAGCCATTGGCACCTTCAAGCCCAGACACCATGGCCGACGAGGACGACCACGATTTCAAGAAGACGTTTGTCGAGATGATGCACAAGGCACATCTCGCGAAAATCCACGACTCGCTCGTCTATGGCGGCGGCCTTTCCACAATGGCCGTCACCGCCTGGAACATGATGGAGTGGATGCCATTCCGCCGAATGGATCTCCAGGCCGACGGGACTTGGAAGCCCATCAACTGGCCACTGCCACGCGGAGAAGTGCGAGACATTCCCAACAACGTCCGCGTCCACGGCAGCGTCATCCGCCGCATGCAGATGGATGAGAGCTATCGTCCAGGCAACTTGATCGTGGGCGGAGGAGGCCGAGGAATGCGTCATGCACCCGAAGAGTATGGCATTGGTGAATGGGTTTGTGTGCAGGAAGAGGGCGACCCCATTGGAGAGATTTGGGTGCGAAAAGGCGACCCTGTGAAGCTGGAGATTAACAAGAAGAAGAAGAAGAAGAACAAGTCAAAGAAGGAGAAGGAAAGGGAAAAGAAGGAAAGGCAGAATTAAGCCATTTATGATTGTTTTGGATGAGCTACGGGAAAATGCCGTCTTGTGTTTTGTGTTTTGGGTTTTGCGTTCATGGTCATACCCCAGACGGAGACGGTTCCGTCATGTTAGTTCGTATTCTATACCAGCCTAATAATTAGCACCTCAACCACTGAAACTACAGCGTTGTCTGCACTCGGCATACCTTGCAAAAGCGTCATTGCCCAAGATATATGCGAAACGAAACGAGGAAGTCGATTTTCAGAGTTGATGAAATGTGTCCATCGTGAATCAGCAAAAGTTGTAGCTGATGCTCTGGAACAATGGAAGCAACTGGAGGCCATAAATGGAGCTGTGTCACGTGGGAGCTCCTGACCTGAATCGCCTCCTACAACTTGTGCCTCGACCAAACAATTCACAACTCCTGCTTGACCTCTCAGCATCAGATGCTACTTTACCTAGGCACTGTCAACGACCCGAAACGATGAATTGACCGACTCTTCCCTCTTCCAAACCACCTCCACCTCTGCAGCCCACGACTAGGCCGTTGCATTCGCAATGCCCGTGCCAACCATCTTCTATCTCCTGGAAAACGGCTTTCCACCCGTCATCCGCGACAATGCCTGGAACATCATCTCCGCCGTCGCCGCCGTCGCATTCCTCGTCCTTCTCAAGCTCTACTCATCGGGCAGGTCGAATCCCTCCGAGCGCAACCTCCACGGCAGAGTCGTCATCGTCACGGGCGGAACGAGCGGGATAGGGGCAGAAGTGACATACGAGCTGGCAGCTCGCGGCGCCCAGGTCATCTTGCTGACCCAGGTCCCCGCCTCCGACCCTTTTCTCGTCGAGTTTATACAGGACATTCGGGACAGGACGGGCAACCACCTGATATACGCAGAGCAGGTGGATCTCGCCAGCCTGTACAGCATCAGAAAGTTTGCCACGAAATGGGTCGACAATGCCCCCCCTCGAAGACTGGACATGATTGTGCTGTGCGCATCGACCATGACGCCGCCGGGAGGGAAACGAGCCGTCACCGAAGAGGGCGTGGAGGAGATGTGGCAGGTCAACTACCTTGCCAACTTCCACCTCCTAAGCATTCTCAGCCCGGCTCTCAAGGCGCAGCCCTTTGATAGAGACGTCCGCGTCGTCATAGCGACATGTTCATCGTACATTGGATCTCCTTCCTTGAAAGAAGGTCTCGCAAATGCGGAAAAGGACTGGTCTCCCGGCTCTGCATACGCACGAAGCAAGCTCGCCCTCAATGTTTTCGGCTCCTACTTTCAGAAGCACCTAGACGCATACAAGCGCCCCGATCAGCTCCCCATGAACACCCGGGTCATCTTTGTGGACCCCGGCCTCAGTCGGACACCCGGCACGCGCAGATGGCTGACCCGAGGCTCGCTCATTGGCCTTGCGCTTTACATATGTTTCTACGCCATCCCCTGGTTCCTGCTCAAGTCGCCTCACAAAGGCGCCCAGTCGATTCTGTACGCCGCCATGCACGGAGACCTCGGGCGTACCGGCGGCGGCAAGCTCATCAAGGAGTGCATGGAGGTAGACTTTGCCCGGAGGGAGATCAAGGACGACGAGATAGCAAAGAAGCTGTGGGAGGAGAGCGACGCCCTCATTGAGAAGACGGAGAAGAACGCCGCAAAGAAGAGAGGGCAGCAAAAGGCCAAGGAGGCTAAGCTGGCCGAGGAGAAGGAGGAAAAGGAAAAGGCAGCCGAGGTAGAGAGCTTGGTAGCCGCGATAAAGAAGGGGAAGGAGAAGGAAAAGCAAAAGGAAAAGGAAAAGCAACAGAAGCAAGGCGGCAAGGGCGGCAAGGGCGGTAAAAATGGCAAATGATTGATTCATTTATTTTTCCTTTTTTTTCCTTTTCGGTTTACTCATAGACAATGATGCAGCATGCGTTTTGCTCCATCAATCGCATCAATAGAGATGAATTTCTGGCGCTGATCCTCATGCCAAAGCTATCTGGTGTCTGCTACTCCGAATGAACCTCGGCTTACTAAGGCCGGCGCCCAGCAATTCCATCATAGCGACTTCATGCAGCTAATGGCGGCATCTTCATCCTCATCCCTATCCTCATCCTCACTATCCCCTACCTATAACGCAGCACTCAATTGATCACGTTGAGCCTCTTTATGACCCCCCAAAACACCCCTAATCCTCCAGCTGTTTTATCGTTCCACACCAAGCCAACCACAACCATCACCATCACCATGACGCCCTCCCTCCAGTCCATCCCAACAGCCACCCAGCTGCAAGCAATATGGAACAAGCACGCCGCGCCAGCCCACAACGCATCGACAACGCACCCCGTCTTCTTCACCGAAAGACTGCGGAAGCCTTCCGTCGGCTCAGCGATTCCGGTGCCAGGTGCGGGATCCAGTCCCGTGGCGCATGGCTATGTGTATCAAGAGGCGCGGAGTGCAAATGCGCCCAAGTTGTGAAGGCATCTTGTACTGGGTAAGTTGCGGTGATGTGGTATTCGGGGCTTGGGTTGCTGACCTGTCCTACGGGGTTTTTAGGTGTTGGCATTTGATTGTATTGTTTCTCTATGAAGGAGGTCAGTTGGGTCGGTGTGGTTGTTGACATGGCATGCCGAGCAACAAATGTGCATTTTGTTGGCTTCAAAAAGGTCATACTACCAAGTACTATTATTATTATTAACCAAGTAATATCTGCTTGCACATTGAAACGAAATAGCGTCGTGTTGTAATTATAACTCAAAGTACTTTCAGCGTTAGGTTCCCATTGACCGCAAATAAAACAAAGAATTCCGCGTGAGGCGTGCACTCTCCCTTTGACTCCCAAAAAAACAGCAAATCCCTACTATGAATACATGTTTGCAGCATCTAGGCTTCGCTGCTCTGATCAAACACTGATAAAAAGACAGAAGAGAGGAAATTGAAATCATGATAAGCGTCATCTTCGTGTTTAGCCCTTGACTGAGATGACAATAATCATGATGATGAGAGCCACAACCAGGATCAGGAGCGCCATGAGCTTGACGTTCTTCCACCACATCTGCCGCTTCAGCCCGCGGCTCCGGACCCGGAAGTCGCGGGCGCTGCTCCCCAGCCTGTCCGTCTTGTCAACAAGCAGATCGATCCTCTCGCCCCGCTCGAGCAAGCTCTCAATGTTCTTCGTCATGATGCCTCTAACATCGTCAATCTCGCGCTTCGCATTACCAATCGCGTCGTTCATGCCGCCGCTCGTCGTGCCAAACTCCACCATCAGGCTCTTCATCTCGGCGTTGAACGACCCGGCGCCGTAGTTTGGCATCTCGGCAAAGTCGCTGTGCTCGGGAAACTTTTCGAAGAATCGCTTGCGGATCTCTAGCAGGTAGCCGAACGGAACGCGCCGGCCCAGCGACCCGTCGGCGATGACGAGGAACGTCAAGCCGCCGGCGGCCGGGTGTTGGGGATAGTCTGACGGCGCCTCGGCGACATAGTGAATCTGGTTCTGGCCGTGGGTGTAGGTCAACTTCTGAGGGGTGGTGTGCTCAATCTTTGGGAGGATGATGGAGGCGAGCGACGAGGTTTGTGACGAGGCAGAGGCTGTGCATTCGGACAGGATTGTGGTCCTGTGGGCGATGCAGGAGCTGGTGATGCCTTTTGTTAGCGAATGCCGAACAGAGCAAAAGCCCCTATAGCTTTAGGGAGCTTCAACGTACTAGAGCAGCGGGGTCGCAGAGGAAGAGGACGCCATTTTGGCGATAACAATCAGTCGCCCGGTGTAAAGATGTTGGAATCTCGAGTCTGGTGTTTGTCGGACAATGTTGGGGCGAACAAAGGACGTAATCGACGGAACCAAGGCACAACGGAGTGATTGTAGGATGCAGGCAGCTCGCTGAAACTATGACGAAACTGCGTCTCCAGTTGGCCGCATTGGCTGCAGGTCCGCCGGCCAAACGCTAATCCGCCTCCGGCTAATCTCCGAGAGGCGCCCATTGGATCGAAAAGTTTGTGATTGAAATTCTCACCAAATGGCCCAGCTTATAGGGTAGGCCGGAGTGACTTTTTGCATCAAAAACTCAAGTTGTTTGTCCATCCATTGTGTCTTTTTATTCTTCCCATTGCAGCGGCAATATCATGATACCTGCGTCCTGTCCGCTGCCGTCATGAGAGCTCTGGCCCAGAACGGCTCCTTCAGAGGCCAGCTTAGAGCGGCCTATCTGCGCCAACTCTCAACCACATCTCACTTAGCAAGGCTGCAGCCGCCAAAGGGCAGTAAGCCAAAGACGTTCAAGCCAAGACTGATATCCCTGAAAGAGGCTCTGAGTACCGGTTCGAAACGGGAGGTAAAGCCTGTGCCTCATTCTCGAGTTGATTCGGTAAGTTTAACCGCCTACTTGATGCCGTGGGTTATATAGAGGATTGCCGTCTCACATTTACACAAACACCAGGTTAGCCAGGGCCATGATCCCAACACCAGACTGCGGCTCGACGTTGGCAAGTATACGGGCCGCCACAAAGTCTTCCGCTCTACCGTCCTCCATCGCTTCCAAGTTGTGCTAAACTCCTTGGGCGCGGCACAGCTCGGCGCCTCTGTCGGTGAGGATGAGCTGAGTCGGCATGCGGCGCTCTTCATGGACGCCATCGATCATGCCTTTTCGTTGGCAGAAAAGGGCGTCACCCGTCGTGACAAGAATCCCATGTTTTGGAATCTGCGTGATGCCTTTATTAGCAAGGATCTCAAGGGCCTGAGCAAGGAAGTCCAGTACTCGTTCCAGTCATTCATCGTTGGCCAGCGGTTTTCCAAGGACATCCAGGACAGTCACCGGCGCTTGCTGGACTTTCGATTCCCGCACGAGTGGTTCCCGGCGACAAGGGCAATGCAGCGAACGATCCACGTTCACGTTGGGCCCACGAATTCCGGCAAAACCTACCGCGCACTCAAGGCCCTTGAGAACTCCAAGTGCGGAGTCTACGCAGGTCCCCTTCGATTACTTGCCACCGAGGTGTACCAGCGATTCAAAGCCAAGAATATCCCATGTGCTCTCATCACGGGCGAGGAGGTGCGGATTCCCGAAGACTCGGATCAGTACTTTTCAAGTTGCACAGTGGAGATGATTCCCCTCAACACCCGGTTCGACGTCGCCGTCATTGACGAGATCCAGATGATTGCTGATGCCGATCGTGGAAACGCTTGGACGTCTGCCGTGCTTGGAGTGCAGGCTAAAGAGGTCCACGTGTGTGGCGAGGAGCGAGCCGTCAAGGTCATGCAGGCCATGTGCGCCAGCATTGGAGACAAGTGTGTCGTTCACCGATACGAACGTCTGAGTCCTCTCAAAACCATGGACAAGGCGCTCAATGGAGACTACAATAGCTTACAGAAAGGAGATGCCATTGTCGCGTTCAGCCGCCTCAATCTTCATTCCCTGAAGCAGGGCATCGAGCAGAAAACCGGAAGACGCTGCGCAATCATCTACGGATCCTTACCACCGGAAGTCCGTGCCCAACAGGCTGCCCTCTTCAACGACCCAGAAAACGACTATGACTTTGTCGTTGCCAGTGATGCGATTGGTATGGGCTTGAATCTGGAGATTCGACGAGTGATTATGGAGTCTGTTACAAAGTACGACGGCAGCCAAAACCGACTTTTGACATTCCCCGAAATCAAGCAGATTGGTGGCAGAGCCGGACGATACAGGTCAGCACATAATCCCGACGGCTCAGTGGACGAAACAGAAAAGGTCGGTCTTGTCACTACTATGGACCGGGCCGACTTGAAAAGCGTGCAACGAGCTTTTCAGAAGAGTGTGGATGATATCGAGGCAGCCTGCATACAGCCTCCTGCAGGTATCGTGGAGCGATTTGCCTCCTACTTCCCACCAGACACCCCGCTATCCTTTATCCTCAAGAGAATCCAAGAGACGGCAACGGTCAGCTCCTTGTATAGGATTGGGCTGGGATCAGATATCCTGGAAATCGCAGACATTATCCAGGATATCCCGCTCACGATCCACGACAGGCTCACATTTTGCTACCTGCCTGTTGCTCTTCGTGCAGACAGAGCCATCGACGTGCTTCGTGCTCTCGCGCAAGTCGTCGCCACAAACTCAAAGGGGGACCTCCTCGACATTGAAGAGATACCATTGGAGTACCTGGATCTGAAGATGGAGGATTTCCAGGTCAAGGAAAAATATCTCGCCAAGCTAGAGTCACTGCACGTTGCCGTGAACCAGTACGTGTGGCTTTCGTACCGCTACTCAGGCGTGTTCCGCAGCCAGGCCCTAGCCTTTCACGTGCGATCACTGGTGGAGGAGAAGCTCATGAAGACTCTGGACCGCCTCGATTTTAGCGACGAACATCTGGAGCGCAAACGAAAGACGAAGCGCATGCTGGCCAAGTCTCGCGATGCCAACAGGACGGCGATTGGCGAGGGGGACGCGGACGAGGTGGAGCAGTTTTCGGATGACGACTACGTTCTCGATGAGGTGGCTGAGAGGGGAAAGCTACAAGAGCGGGCTGCGTGATGAATTTGGCTCTGGGCATCTCTCTTGCTTTGGGTCTTATGAACTATGGCTTGGTTGGTAAAAATGGGACGGCGATGAACTTTAGTTTTGGGTTTGTAGAAAAGGTGACGACATCCAACTTATTTGACTGGGAAAGAGAAAAATATGGGTTGTGTGCGAGGTTTCGAAAGCTGTACGATTATGGATATAGATGGCATCGACAAAAGAATGTATGATTAGTATAAAGTGAGGACATATCAACGGAGTTTGGATCCGAGAAGCGGCGTTTGTGAGTACCCAGGGCAGAAACTACACTGTAACAGCACACAGCTTTATGTATTATGTGAGTGAAGTCCTGCTAAATCAGGCAACTGAGGCGCTTGTTCATATAAAAGATTACTATACGTACATGAAGCTGCCAACGCAAAAGATTAGTCGTAGTTGGGGATGGGGATGGGCTGTTCTAGATGTGGGTGTATATCGATGCCGATGCGGGGTCTTTGATGATGTTAAATGAGTATTGACGTTGGCCGTAGCTTGTTATTAATTATTCTAATAGACGGGCGTTTATAAAAGTAATCATGGAAAGGAGTAACGATGCGGGTTCTTTGCATAAGGTACATATTATCTGGTGTCTGTTGTTGAGACAACATCAGCTACCCTGGATCAATGTGTCGATTTGAGTGCTGACTGCAGTTATACTCAAGTAAACCCCCCATGAGACTCACCATGAATTATATCAATGTATCTTCGGATCGGAAACATCACGTAGAGTGCATGTGAAAGCCTGGAAACTGTGTGTGGGGATTGTTAATGAGCCCGAGTTTCGGGTTGAGGTTGGCAACCTTTCATCTTGTGTAACCTGTGATGCCCGGGAGACGGACACGAAGCAAGATGAAAAGAACACGCCGACAAGGGATAAATGACCTGGAAATAAATCCAATGAAAATAAGAAGGCAAGTCAGAACAATTACCGACTCCATGCCTGTGTGAATTTGAATTACTCAACCCTCACCCATTAATTGCTTCGCCGTCATCATTCCGATCGCTTCAATTTAATCAAGCCCGTCGGCTGCACCCGATTGGCCGATTTACGCCCCAGGGGGTTCCTTAGTTGGGCATCCAATCGAAAGCACCAGCCCGACATTCTGGGAGAGAAAAACACCCTGTTGGTCATTTAATGGCAGAGCCTCTGCACGTCCTTGCCGAATCACGGGAGTTCAAATCCTTCAGTGGCTTTTTAGCGAAGAGCTGATGCTTGATGCTTCATGATCTCCTTTGTTTCCTCTTTGTTCCATCTTTCAAGGTTTTTTTTTTTTTTTTTTTTTTTTTTTTTTTTGACAGCAACACCACCTGCCAAGTACTATAGGTACCTGTACTTGTCCTTCTGCGGGTTCAGCTGCTGTAAAAGGCACGGGGCGGTACATTAGCCAAGTACAGCGCAGCCACTGAAATACACTTTGAGCGAGCCTCCCTCTTTGCTCTTGCTCTTCTTCACGCTCTTGCTCATCATCTTCCTCCTCCTTTCACGTTCCATCACTTCTTCTTCTTCTTCTTCTTCTTCTCTTCATCAGCTACAACAACAATATCAACATCTCCAAATACCGCGCTTTCGGATTAATTAATTCCATCTCGCGCTGCCCCGTTCCACCATTCTATACATCTATTCTATTCTTCTGCTTCTTCTTCTCCATTCTTCCTCCATCTTCACCCCCAGGGCTCGCAACTTTATCCATCCGCTTCACTCAACCTCCATCACCATCTTGCAACGCATTTCTTGACATCAAAAAGGAAACCACTCAAGTCCCCTCCAAGCAACGACCAAATCTTCCACCATGAGCGACGGGAGCGGGATGCACAGGGCCATGATCCGCTCTAGCCCCTACAGCTATCACGCTCCCAGCCCGCCCAAAATCCACATCCCCGTTCAAAGCAAGGCCGACATGGACCTGGTGCCCAGATACGACCGTGTCGACTCCTCCAAACTCACCCTCGAGGACTTCACCATCATCACCGGCAACAGGATCCAGAAATCGACAGATCGCTCCACACGCTGGAGGTATGAGCAGCGCAGAGAAGCCCAGCGCATTCTCGACTACCTCTTTCTGGGCCCTACAAGCATCATTCGGGACCACGAATTCCTGAAGCGAGAGGCCTTGACCATGGTCGTCGTGGTCCGTGACTCGAGGGCTCCCCGGAATCTCGCCAGCGTCGAAACCGCATCCGCGACGCTTAACCTTCCCTTTTGCTATGTAGACGCCAATGCCAAGCACCTGGTCCCGGCATTCAACCAAATTGTCAGCGTCATCAACAATCATCTTCTCACTGTGCATAACGTCACGGGGGGGACCATCCGGGGCAAGCTCCTGGTGACCTGCGATACGGGCAACATGCTCTCCCCTTCTCTCGTCGCTGCTTATATCATGTTCATGTTTGGGCAGGAGCTGTTGGAGGCAGTCCACTTCATTGGTGTCCAGCGGTTCTGCTCCAACTTTGATGATGAAGCCAAGGAAGCTTTGTTGACTTGGCAGGGGATCAACAAGGCCAGTATCGCCGTGGACAGGCGACGTCGCCTTGAACCAGACAATGGGGGAAATGGCCTCGCATCTGAATTCACCAGGGCTGAGGGCACGCTGACCACCAAACGTGGCCTTGATGACATGATGGATGGGGCGGAAGAAGACGGACGGAGCGACGGAGGTGACACTCTTGGTGACAACGACCGCTTCTCAGGCCGAGGGGATTACGCACCGTTTCTTGATGTCGACTAGATGGGAATACGAGGGATGAACCAAGCATCCATTCGGTTCGGCACAATCATGAGATTGTTGGCATAGTGACCCCGGCGTTACAGGAAAAGAGATTTCTTACTACAGATACCAATTTGCTGCACAGTTGGCTAGACGGCAGACTCCAGATGGAGCTCGCATATAATAACTTGAATGATGAAGCTCGTCAGCTGCAATAGGCGTATGGCGCGCTGGGCTTGAGTTTAGGCAAGAGGAAGATGAAGGCGACGGCGTCTGGGAGTTGGTCTTTTCCACAAAATTAGGTAGTTGTTTGATTGCTTTTATTCAGTTCTGGGTATCAGAGTTATTCTTCTTCTTTTCATGAATTCTCATCCTTCTTGCCAAAGTGTGTGTGCCGTCCTCTTTTCATCTTTTTTGGCTGGCCACCTGGCAGACACTGCCAGCCACGACCTGTCACCGTCTGGCCAGGCCGCGGCCTCTCTCGTTTCGTCTGATCTATTCTCTATCGCCCCATGTGATCTGTTTGTTTATCTGTTTATTTCACACGCGTTGGGAACCTTGACAGATACCTCGTTCTCTCCGATTCCCGCGTCTACCAGAGTTTCCGCATTACTTGACCTCACACAATCATTGCCCACTGCGAATCATCTCTATCGAGTTTTCTCTTTTCGATCGACTACTTTCTCAACCCTTGTAGCCTTTCTTCGTCGGAATTCAGCGTTGCTCCGGATTCGCAGGAGCGGTGTTGACGTTCAGAGGCGTTGCCCGGCTCTCGCCATTCTTCACTTTGCCTTCATTCTCACCCATCTCACTCTTCTTGGGCTATCAGGTCTCAATATCGCGGTATGTGGTCTGCATCTGCTTCTGCCGCAATTGCTAATCAACCCGGAAGATTGGACAGACACCCTTCGTTGTCGTTTACTCTCCAGCAACTCGGAAACAATCCCACCGATTCTATCTCGTCAAGGAGCAACAACCTCTATCATGTCGTACGACGGCACCCCCGACGTTTTGTTCAATTCACAAGGCGATGACTTGCCTGAGGCATCGAGCATCTTCCAGGATCTAGATGTGGAGTCGCGTCACCACAACTTGCCATCTGGCAACCCAAACGAGGCGGACCTCCCCTTGGTTTCTGACGGTAAACTCACCAGAGATGCCCCCTTCTTCTCATGGCAACGAGACTCAGCTAACGGCGTTGTAGGAACCTTGGGCTCTGATACGGGAGCTCAACCGCGAAGAGCCCGCGTTGTTCATTTGCCTCAGCCGGCGAATCCCCCTACAGCGGCACCAGCAGAGGCAGTTGAGACATCGGAATCGGAAATCCCTTTTTTATATCAGGGCTGGTCGGAAGGAGAGATAGCGGAGGAGCTTCTGACCCCCGAGACGTTCTATTGGTGGAAGGCTCGCGACGCCATGGCGGAAAGGGGACTGCTTCCTGATATCCCGATCATTTATCCCGCTGGCGCGCGACAGCATCAAACTGCGCCCAGTTCTGCGGCCGACAAACGGACCCTCAGATGGGAAGACCTCAGCTTGGGCGTACGATGGATCATCCTTCTACGGCTGAGTGAGAAGCGCCCGTTTTCCGCTGTCATCATCTGGCAGCTTGATCTTTCCAAGAACCAGGTTCATGATTTCGTCACCAGCTACGTCAACTTTTGCGATCAGTGGAACGCGTTCGAGCACAGCGTCGCGGATAGGGTCAAGGCCTTTGGAGGACATTCCGAGCAGCAAGACATGCTGTGCGCTGAATGGATTCATCAACACCGCCCGCTGATGCCGCACGACCGCATCACTCAGGACGATGTTGAAATGGGCCTGCTCTTCCTTTCCGAGCGCGGCATTGTCAACCATAACGTCGATCTCCAGGCATGGGTCGATGAGAAAGAGCCCAAGGACTTTGCTCGCATTCAGATTGACGTTCCCGCCTTGAAGGATTGTATGGATTACCGACTTCTCCGGCGCGTTGCAGTCGCCAGGCTGGTGAATCCTGAGGTGATTGAGAATGCCATCATACAGCAAGGGAGGGAGAAACGCCACAATGAGTGTAGTGCTCGCAGAAGCGGTGTCATGATCAACGATGCTTTTCTTGGAACGCTTCAACAGGTTGTGCCTTAGGAAGGCGAACCTGTGAATGATGCCGGTGAGATTTCCCCTGAAGCACAAGCCGTTCTGGACACCATATCGAGAGGCCCGCGTATTGGCGAGCCCATGCCCATGCCGATCCCACGCTATCAGAGGGAACAGAAGGCAGATGAGGCCTACAAGGCTTTGAAACGGATGGTTCCAGAGCTGCAACCTCAGTATGCCCCGGGAGGATTGGCCAAGACTCAGTGGGAGATTGACAATGGGTATCCTAGTGGATATGTGAGTTTCCTTGGGTAATCTGGGTGAGTGAGCCGATACTTGGTTGACTAACGCGGGTGCCTCTATAGAGCTGGGAATACACTCCTCTTCATCACGCAGAAGATGCAGCCGACATGGAGTCCAATCCCCTTCCTGAAGAATTGACTGCGCAAAACCCTTCTCGTCTCGCCGCCATACGACAGGGGATTGCCAAGCGACAAGCCGCCAGAGCTGCTGGCCTATCTGTCGAGACGCCTGTCAATTCCCCAGGCAAGCAATCGCCTGAGCAGGCTCAAAGGTACGAACAATCTCCCCCCATCCAATCAAGTGCTGCACCGCTTCACCATAACGTGCCAAGGTCTCGTATCGGAACTGCTCAAGAGCGCTTCATGACAAGCAATAAGAAGGGGCAACTCATGGTTGGCTTCGCGGCAGTGACTGGACAACAAGTCCCCCAGAACCCTGGCTTTACCAGACCGTTTGCTGAACTAGCATGTTGTAGCCAACCTGAGGCGCCGGGAGCAGCAGCAGTGGAAGAAGAACCCGAACAAAGGCTTCCAGATGCGACGTCCGCGCAAGACCTTGAGCATGACAGTGCCAATGCCAATGCCAATGTTGTGTTGGAGAGAAGCAAGCGAAAGCGTCGGCCTAGTGCCCGTGCTCGCGAATCTTTGCAATATGATTTGGAGATGGGACAGTGTGCTGAAACTAGTTCCGAGAAGCTCCAAGGGAAGAAAGCGAGGTCGTCCAAGCCAAAAAGAAGGCAAGCAGCCGGCGAAGCCAAGGGCTCCCAAGACGCCAAAGGTGCCCAAGACGCCCAAGGCGGGCTCGAGCCAACGCAAGAAGCCGACGCCCAAGAAGAAGCAGCAAGAGGAAGAGCAACTGAAACAAGAGGAGCAACAAGAGGAGCAGAAAGAGTTGTAACGAGGTCTCGGGTTCGAACGCGAGGTAGCTTGGCTCGTTCATATTCTGCTGCACAGGTAAGGATCTTGTATCTCCAACAGTCACTGGCTTGTTCTGACCTACTTAACTTTTGTGGTAGAGACCGTCGCTGCCCGCCGTGATTGAAGTACCGAGACTGGAAGAAGACGAAGGAGAAGAAGAAGAGTGTCACTGCGTTGTGCAAAAGCCGGACCAACCCGGAGCAGAGACTTCGACTACTCGAGATATCCGACAGAGGCCGTGTAAAAGACTGAACTGCAAGATTCGAAAGCTGGAGAACTATTTTGGAATGTTTAGAGGGGAACTGATCAACGCACGCCCACCACCCGTTTCTGCGGCTGAATGGGCTTGGGTTGCAGACGATGCTGGATTTGTCATCGAAGCTGTGCAGGCTTGCTATGCTCTAAGTGCGGATCGGATCAATACCGAGTTGTTGGTCCCGCGGCAACACCAGATGGATCGAGATACGGCTCATGCGATTATTGTGTCAAAGGGTGTCGAGTATACAAGAATCGAACACGCACATCGATCGGAGAATGGACCGGTTGCTGAGAGGGCCGAGTTTGCGGGGGTTGCTGAGACGGCGACTTTTGCGATGCATGCTGTTGAAGCTTCGGTTGCTTTTGGGGAGGGTTGGGATGTTGACGAGACGGATGACGAGTCTGAGGAGCAGCAACCGCCAGCACCGGCAACTACTGGGACGATTTGAACGAAGAGTATTTTTTCCTATTTTCTTTTCTTTTCTATTTGGTTTTTGTCATTGTGTTGGCAACGTTGTCAACTTGTTCTTTCGGAAAAGGGTCTGTATGTATGGGGAGAGTTGTATAGGTGCTGGCTTTGGCATGTTTGGTCTATCGGTCGACAGTTGCTGCGTGGACGAGGATGGATTTGCTTGGTAACTGTTCAGTGTGAGGGGAGAGACACAGACACCTGAATTTCATGTTTGAGTTTTATTGTACGGATATTCTTGGGAACTTGTGATCACAATGGTGATTGTATCATCTGATACTCGAAGCATTTGAAGTATTGGTAGTGACTGTTGTACTCTGTGAGTTGCAATGCTGTGATACTGTTTCTTTCTTACCGCAGCAAACAAACGAGTAGAACTCCAGAGACACCAAGGCAAAGCAAAGCAAGGCAGAGCATTACAGAGGCACAGCAGAAAAGGCAGAAACTTGTGCTCAAGAGTGACAAACGGCGTGTCATCGAGGAAGAGTGCATTATCAGCTGCATCTGCCCGCCTGTCCTTTGCATTTGCAGGCCGTAGCAACTGCACGTGCCTCGCCGGCCTTGCCTCTCCTGCCTTTTGGTGCTCGCAGCCTCGCCAACTGCAAACGCACACCATTCACCGCCTGCGGATTTTCTCTTTTCCTCTTTTATCCGCCCTCTCGTGATCTCTTCTTTCATCCTCTCTCTTTCATCTGCTCTTCTTCAGTGAGATTACAGACTGGATATTCATTCACATCCGTGCCTCTCGACCGGATAGCAACTTGTGCAACAGCCTTCTTTGACTTGCCTTCTCCTCTCGATTCCGACATCTGATGTAATCATCGTTCTTCTACTCAAGAGCAACTCCGTCACCTCCATATGTCGGATAGTGGCGGCCTGCTGCTAGAGGCAGCGTCGTCGCACGTCATGTCGACGCCTGCAGACGAGTCGCTCGTTGTTCATGCTACTGCGGTGGCTGATCCTACAGTCAAGCTTTCAGATGTCGTTCTGCCAGAGCGACCTAAAGCTTCAACCTTAGAGGCTCTCGAGGAACATCCGCAGGTCACGACTGCTCCAGAAGACGCAGATGAAATCGAAGACGTCGACCAGTCTGACGAGGCATCTGATGCGCAAAAGGCGCCGATAGCAAAGAAGCGACAGCAAGATTTGGCGTTTCAAGACTGGTTGGTCAAAAACCAGACGGAGCTCACTGCGACCTCCAAGGTAGACCTGGATAGTCACCTGGATAAACTGTCAATCTCGCGGCTCTACGAAGACAACGCTTTCCAGAAGATCATTACAAGTCCTCGCGAGTACCAGATTGACCTGTTCGAGAGAGCAAGAGACGAGAATACAATCGTTGTTCTTGATACAGGTACAGGCTCTCACCCCCGTCTAGTTTCTTCTTGTCACTTACCTGGTCATGTATAGGCTCCGGCAAAACATTGATTGCTGCCCTCCTCATGCGACACGTTCTCCAAGTAGAGCTACAGAGTCGCGCCAACGGCTACCAACACAAGACGGCCTTTTTCCTTGTGGAAAAAGTTGCCCTGTGTTTCCAGCAGCACACCGTTCTGACCACCAACCTCGAGTTCCCCATTGGCAAGTTTTTCGGCGAGATGAAGGGCGTGGTTAGATCTCAGGAATACTGGGATAAGCAGTTAGCGGAAAACATGGCCATTGTGTGCACTGCACAAATCTTGCTTGATCTCCTGACCTGTGGATTCATTTCCATGAGCCGGATTAACCTGCTTGTCTTTGATGAAGCGCATCATACAAAGAAGAGTCATCCTTACGCCCGCATCATCAAGGACCACTATATGCGCATGCAGCAAGATGCACGTCCTCGTATTCTTGGTATGACAGCTTCACCGGTCGATGCTTTGACAAAGGATATTCGGAATGCTGCCTCTGAGTTGGAGAGCATGTTGTGCAGCAAAATTGCCACCATCTCCGACGAGGCTCTGATGCAAAGTCAGGCACATCGTCAGCAGGTCGAGGTTAAAGAATACTATGATCGACTGGAAGATCCCGAATACTCGAAGACGAGGCTTTGGGACTCCATTTCGCGCCGTGTCCGCAATAATCTTCAATTCAGAAAACATCTGGAATTTGCGTCCAACGCATCCTCAATCTTGGGGACATGGTGTGCTGACCGCTATTGGCAACTCCTAACGACAGACAATGAGATGCTCAAGATTGAAGCAAGGACTGGACGCGATTACTTGGAGATTGATGTTGCCGCTGGCGATAAGGCGATGGCGGCGGTCGCTCAAGTGAGAGGCATCATCAAGGATCACGTCTTCGGGGCCATCCAAGCCGGTTCTCTCGAACTTTCGCCCAAAGTCAAGGCGCTTTACGAAGTTCTTGAAGATGCTTTTTGTACGAGAAAGGCAAAGAGATGCATTGTTTTTGTGGAAGCAAGGTCAACGGCTTTTCTTCTAGCAGATCTATTTGAGCAGCAGGGGATGCAGATTCCTGGAATGAAAGCTGCCTACATGGTAAGACTGATCCTATGGCCCCTTCTCATGCAAGAACTGACTTGTGATTTGATTAGATTGGCTCTCACTCTTCAAACGCCAGCGCTGCGTACATGTCCTACAGGGACCAGATCGTGTCCCTACAAAAGTTTCGGCGTGGTGAAACGAACTGTCTGTTTGCAACGTCCGTTGCGGAAGAAGGCATCGATATTCCAGAGTGCGATGTGATTATCCGATTTGATTTGTACAAATCTGCGATTCAATATATTCAATCTAAAGGTCGGGCACGGCAAAAGTCGTCACTCTATATCAGCATGGTGGAAGTAGGAAATCTGGACCATATACGCAAACTCCGACGGGCAATCCGGGATGCTCATGCGCTGCGACAATTTTGCTCTACTTTGCCTGAAGATCGCAAAGTTCCTGATTTCGTCGTTGACCCTGATCTTTTGGCTGCCCAAGAACGAGCAACTCAGAGGACATTTACTGTCGCTGAGACAGGCGCTCAGCTTACCTACATTACGAGCCTGGGAGTACTGTCAAAATTTGCCTCGTCGTTCCCAAACCATGCTGAAGAAGGAATGCTGCACTTGGAGTACATTGTCACTTCTATAGGGCGAAATTTTCGCGCTCAAGTGATCCTACCAGACGGGTCTCCGATCAAGGTGTTTTCGGGAGAAATACAGAAAAGCAAGCAGTTGGCAAGATGCTCTGCTGCTTTTGAAGCCTGCGCATATCTCATCAACAGAAAGTACATCAATGGAAATCTACAGCCGGCGTTTACCAAGTCACTGCCCTACATGCGGAATGCAAGGCTGGCGATTTCATCAGACAAGAAATCCGAATACGCCATGCGAATCAAACCGGATTTTTGGTCCTCATGTCTCGCTCCAGAGCCCCCGACTAGTTTGTATCAGACCACCATAGCCCTTGACCAGCCGGAAGCTCTTGGGAGAGCGTCTCGCCCTCTGATTCTCCTGACTCGGAAGCCATTGCCCGATATACCGAGCACCCCGTTGTTTTTCGGTGGCGGCCGGACGTCGGTTGTGCGACTTTCAAATTCGCAAACTTCATTTGAAGTGCTGCCTCACGAGATGGAGGCGCTGGCAAGCTTTACGTTGAGGCTCTTTACCGACGTTTTCAGCAAGGAGTATGATGCAAAGTCGCACGAAATTCCCTACTTCCTTGCTCCTAGCAAGCTCTCACCCGGCGGTGATAAAGCAGCCGAGATTGACTGGGTAGCAGTGCAGTATGCCCACGAGAATGAGAAACTTGGCTGGGAAGATGCTCCAAGTGAGTTCTTCAAAGACAAGCTCGCTACAGATCCATGGGACGGATCTCGAAAATTCATCCTGCGTGGTATCAATGAAGAGCTAAAGCCAACTGATCCAACGCCAAAGGGTGTTCCGCAACCCAAGAGCCTGGGGTATAGAAAGGTTGAGCAAACCATCAAAGAATACAGCAACAGCCTTTCTATCAAGTCGAGGAAAAGAATGAATTGGAGGGATGATCAGCCAGTCGTCAATGCAGAGCTGCTCCCGATTCGCCGCAACTTTCTAGACGAATTCTTTGTAGAGGAAGAGGGCGGTGGCACTTGCTATGTCATCCTTGAGCCGCTGTGCGTGTCACCAGTAAGACTTTTCCCCCTCAAAACTGTATCACAGCGGCATTCTAACCTGCCTTAGATCCCGATAGATGTCGTCTCCATGGCCATGATTTTACCCGTAGTAATGTATCGAATCGACTCAGTCTTGATAGCCCTTGAAGCCTGTTCTCTCGTCGGTCTGTCTATCCGCTCCGATCTTGCCCTCGAGGCTGTGACAAAGGATAGCTTCAACACGGAAGAACATGGCGAACACCAGGTCGATTTTCAGCCCGGAATGGGCAAGAATTACGAGCGCCTGGAGTTTCTTGGCGATACGTTCTTGAAGATGGCCACAACCATTTCCATCTTCACTGTTCAAAACTTTGCAGATGAATTTCAGTCTCACGTCACGCGAATGCTGATGCTGTGCAACCAGAATCTCTTTAACCATGCCGTGGAGAAGGACATGCCTGCGTACATTCGCACTAAAGCATTTGACCGTCGGACGTGGTATCCGAGTAACATGACGCTGAAGAGGGGTAAAGCAGCCAAAACGGAGGTAAAGCATTGTCTGTCGCACAAGTCGATTGCAGATGTTTGTGAGGCGCTCATTGGAGCAGCTTACATGACAAGCACCACTGACAATATGGACATGGCGGTCAAGGCTGTTACGGCCATGGTCTGCTCCAGCAATCACACAATGCTAGAGTACAAGGATTATTTTGCAACTTTCGCTGCCCCGAAGTGGCACGGCCAGCAGACATCCGCCGCACAGCGCCTCACCGTGGACAAAGTGGCCGAAATCACAGGCTATCGCTTCAAGTGTGCCCCCCTCGTACGCAGTGCCTTCCGACATCCATCATACGTCTTTGAGACCAACGTCCACGACTATCAACGGCTCGAATTCTTGGGTGACGCACTACTGGACATGGCAGT